TTTTTTGGTTGCAGCCATCATTGTTGTTTGGCGGGACCGGGCTGGATTCGAACCCGCCACCTTAGGTGTATGTGGCTGGCGCCTTAGCCACTTGAGCCACAGGTGCCGAGCCTCTTTTTTTTTTTTTTTTTTTTTGACATAATTGCATTCGTCATGGCAAGCAAATAAGACAAATACCATAGAGCAGTGGTTCTCAACCTGTGGGTCATGACTAAAGGGCCATGGCATTAGAAAGGTTAAGAACACTGCCATAGAGCATGCTAGGAGATAACAGAGTACCCAAGAAGATCATGATCAATTGATTTGATAATCAGATGTTGCCCAACAAACTACAAGAGCCAGATCTCTAATTTTAGTGTGTTCAGCAAATGGGATCTCTTATAGGTATGGTCTCTATTGCTCCAACAAACTATAAGGACAAGAAACTCATTTTGAAGATGATTTTACCAAGTAGAATGGAGTCCTTTTGCATGTAACATCTCAATTTTTCTAGAAAAATTGAAGTCTGAAGCTGTTGCCCTGGGTAGAATGCCCTGGTGTCATAGGTCACAGAAAACCACTTTGAGTACTAGTATTTGGTTCAGGAAGCTAAATGGAGTTGCTTACAACCATCAAAATACAATTTTCCAATAAATTATAAATTCAGTTTCTCAATAAACTACAAAACCTAGACCTCTGGCTGGCCATGGTGGCTCACACTTGTAATCCTAGCACTCTGAGAGACCAAGGCAGGTGGATCACTTGAGCTCAGGAGTTCAAGACCAGCCTGAGCAAGAACAAGATTGACCCCATCTCTACTAAAAATTAGAAAAACTGAGGCAGGAGGATCACTTGAGCCCAAGAGTTGGAGGTTGCTGTGACCTATGACACCAGGGCATTCTACCCAGGGCAACAGCTTCGAATTCTGTCTCAAAAAAAAAAAAAGAAAGCCCCCAAAACATAAAAACATGTTGAATGGAGTCTCTTAAATCATCTTCTCGATTTCCTCCAATATATAAGTATAAACACTTGTACTTTCAGCATGGCTTTGTGCTAACTTGAGACCCTTCTACACACCATTTCAGTGCCTCCTTGAGCTCTAATGTTTAGACATTTGCACATCCTACATCTTGTTCAACAGAGTGAAAGGACTGTCTTCCCTGCACTACCTCAGGTTTCCAAAAGCTGCAAGGGCTACACACCGATCCCTGCAGTTAATTGTTCAACTCTCCAAATACGATCTCTCGCATGCTTTAATATGTGTACTTCCCATATATGGTTGATTGTGGTGAGTTGAGCCTTTATTTATTTTTATTTATTTATTTAGAGACAGAGCCTCAAGCTGTCACCCTGGGTAGAGTACTGTGGCATCACAGCTCACAGCAACCTCTACCTTCTGGGCTCAAGGGAGTCTCCTGCCTCTGCCTCCCAAGTAGCTGGGACTACAGGTGCCTGCCACAAGGCCCAGCTATTTTTTTTTTTGGTTGCAGTTGTCATTGTTGTTTGGTGGGCCCGGGCTGGATTCGAACCTGCCAGCTCAGGTGTATGTGGCTGGCGCTTTAGCCACTTGAGCCACAGGTGCTGAGCCTATTTTTATTTATTTTTGAGACAGAGTCTCACTCAGTTGCCCAGGGTAGTGTGCCATGGTATCATAGCTCACAGCAACCTCTAACTCTTGGTCTCAAGCGATCCTCTTGCCTCAGCCTCCCAAGTAGCTGGGACTATAGGCATAAGCCACAGCACACAGCTAGTTTTTCTATTTTTAGTAGAGGTGGGGTCTTACTCTTTCTCAGGCTAGTCTCAAACTTGGGAACTCAAGCAATCCACCCACCTCCAACCTCTCAGAGTGTTAGGGTTAGGGGCGTGAGCCACTGTGCCTGAGT